ATTGTTTGGTATTTTCATTGGTCCAAACTAGCTTGAAAAATACAAATGATTATAGTTTAATGGTGGTCATGCTCCACACCACCCTTTTTTGCAAAACTTATTTATGGAGGCCATAAAGCTCTAGCTCTTAGTTTGGATAAGGACAGATGGGTCAGATCGGCCGGGTTTGTGGTTTTGCTCTGGAACAAGCTGCTTTGAGATCACAAGTTTTAGCCAGAGACACGGAGCCTGATACTGTTTCACTAACCTCTTTGCTATTAGAATTCTGCTTATCGTAATTATTATACCGTACAGACTGAAACCATAATGTAACAGCAAATTTCCAAATGAATTAAGCATTAACAGAAAATCTAAATTGGTTTTACAATTTTTTACTTAAACTATCGTTTGATATTTCAAATCCCCCACCTTTTAATTTTCACTCATTCATTAATGAATAGTTGCCAAATTTCTATATATTTTATTCCACTGATGATGTCACAGCCCATGTTTCACCCACTAGTTTGTTGCATCAAACAAAAATGAATCATAAAAAATGACTGTAGCCAGAATCAGCAAGTTCATAATATTTAATTTGTAAACCATCTTTGTCCCTATATCTTTGCACGCACAGCTTTATTTATGATACTGCAATAATTCCTACTATAACACACTTCTCTGGATCATTTTTATTTTACAAAGGCATGTCAATGGTGACTAGTTGATTAGTCAGCTACCACTAAAAATCTACTACTGACTAATCACTAGTCACAGAGTGTTTACATCCCACAGCTTGCCTATATGTTGGTATACTTTACTATTCAGCTATATTTAGGAGCTACAACTGTCCATAGCTTTGCAAAGTCAAGGTTAGTGGAATGCAACTGTGCATCAGGACTCCCACCTTTCAGGAGAACTTGGTCTCATCCTATCAGCTTTTTGATAAAGTTATCAGAGTCTAAACAGAATGACTGTAAACAATGGGGGAGCCGTGTGTGGGAGATGACTGAAACGGACGTCATGAGTTCTCAGGAGAATACACACTCACTGAGAGAGACAGTCTACACTGCCGTGCCTGGCTTTAGAGGAGCTGCCTCTTGTTGGTGGTCTCCTTCAG